CAAAAAATTAGTGCATTAGGCCAACTTTTTCTAGCTGAGACAATGATGGAAGGGAGATAACTACATGATTTTTCAAAATTATAGGAGAGGTTTCTATTAAAATGAAACTTTAGGGGAGGTTTTTATGATTGTTAGAAACCTCAAAGGACATTTTTGTATTTTACCCTTTTTTTAATTATTAATTTATGCCATCATCCCAATGCACACTTTTTCTTGTATGTTGTATTTGTACACTTGAACTAAAGTTTGTTTCTTTAAATTATCAAACATACCCTTCATTCCATGAATCAAGAAAGCAGGGATACAAGGTGCTAATCAACTGGTTGGTAAGGTCTCTTGCTTGTCGTAGTGGAGATTTGGGATCAAATCCCACTTGCACCTAGGTTGGGGGGTTACGGGTTGGAGGATGGGCTACTCCCCATTGTGTAGCCCTTCAAAAGATATCAAAAAGTAAGAAAGGGGGGATTGTGTACTATGTTGTGCAATAGGCATGCTACGCTCGTGTGGCTTCTTTATATATGGATCATCTATACTGGGCCTGCTTCTACCTTATTGAGATTTGAGACAAACAACTTTATATATATATATAATATTATAAAATGTGGGAATAAGGGTGTGGAATTTTTCTTGACTAAAATGCCCATATTCGTTATTTAGTCTATCTCTAATTATGAAGGTCGAAAATGTAATTTCAATTAATGCTTTGCACCTCATTTAATCCCCTCTCGTTAACCCTTGTATTTAAGGTATTAACTCCCATTCTCTTTTATTAAATCTCATATTTAAGTCATTTTTTCACTAATAAATGCTACTAATTAGATCTATGTCCAATAGTTTTATAAACCCATATATTTTAATACTTACTTAAAAACAAAACCATTCTTTATCCAAGTGATGAATCAAATTGGCAAACCTATAAAGTCATAGTTAGATAATAAAATTTTTAAATATAAATAAATATAGAAAATTACACAAATGTAGAAAAAGATAGACACATTTGTGATATTTTTCTATTGATCAAATTAAAAAAACAAGTGTAATAAACAAAAATTATTTTGATTGATGATGAAAATGAAATACATAATTTAAAACTGACAAAAATGAAATTATTTTCTTTTTTAGCATAGATCAATAGTTCAACTTTTGGGTCAAATCTATCAACCTTTAATGTCATAATTAAATAATAAAAACTAATAAAATATAAAAAATACAAAAATAAAAAAATATAAGTTTTACAAAAAAACATTTGGGCACATGTATAATATCATATATTAATCATATTAAACAAAAAATAAGTGTACATAACAGTATTACTTTTGCACACATAAAAATAAAAAATAATTATATAAAAAATTGAACACATCTATAACTCCATATTTATACTACTACTAAAAATATTAATAAGATTGTAGAACTTTCTGTTGATTAAAATACCCATTTTTTTAATTTAATCCATATTTAATTACGAGGTTTAAAATGTAATTTGAACTACAAATTTCACCTCATTCAATTCACTCTCTTTAAATCTTGCATTTTTTTGTTAAATGAACAAAACAAATATACACTAAGAATATAAAACATTACAAAAGTGAGAGTCCAACCAAGTAGGTAGGCTTGTCAGTGATTTTGCAATCTGCATTCAATTAATAGTGAAAAAATATAAAAAAAAATAAAAACACATGAATTTTATAGAAAAATTGGATACATTATTCTTATCATTATCATCATCTTGAATTGCCACGAGTAAAGGACATCCACACTTACTAGTATACTAAAGTAGAACATGCCACGTCAGATGGCCTCTCCTTGTTCCATTACCCCAATTGAGCAATTCTAGAGGGGTTTCAAAATTGCCTTTAGAGGCCGATGGAGTTGCCACCTTAGCATGGCTTATCTCCCCTTTTCCTCTCCTTTTTATTAGAAAGTTATCCCCCACTTTCTCCTATCTTTAACTATCTCAAATTCCTATTTATACTCTCCCCCACTTTTTATCTATATCTATCTAAAGAAAGTTTCAATTAAAAAATTTAACAATTATTTAAATATTATAATGAAATTACGTAATAATTTTATAATAGTTATTAAAAACACAAAAATAATTATAATATATTTAATAATATTCATATTATTAATAATTTTATAATTTTATGAAATTCATAATGAAATTATGTAATAACAATATAAATTATAATTTTATAGATTATTCAATTTAATAACTAAATAATATTTTAAAAATATAAATAAAAAAATAATTTAAATGTTATTCAAATAATTGAAAATTTTTAAATATTATTGAAATAGTGAATGTAGATTAAATGACTTAGAGGTTTTAAAGCTTTATTACTTATTTATTGTATTTTCACTATAAATTTTCAATAATTATTGGAGATTAAACTATTGATATTTGTTAGAACTTCGACTATCAATTTAACTATAATTAGGAGTGTTCACTAGGCGGTTCAATTCGGTTGCAGATCGTTTAGCTAGCCAAATTGATCTAGTCAGCTTGGGGAGTTGTCACTCGAAATTAACCAACCATTAGTGAAAACCGACCAACTTGAGTTGTATCGGTCAATGTTTTAAAAACCAACTCAGAGACTGATCTACTTTTGCATATGGGTCATGGTCACTGATTTAATTGTCTTGGTTGAATGGGTTAGACTGAATGTTTTAAAAACCAACTTGAAGACCGATCTACTTTTGCATCTGCGTCGCGGTCACCAATTAACCATCCTGGTCAAACAGGTTAGACTGTTCCATGTCAACACTATATACATACATACATACATACGTACGTACATACGTACATAAATGTGCATATATGTATATATGTGTGCAAATACATATTTTATCAATAAATAGTGTATAATTATGTTTTATATATAATATATGTATTATTTTATATTTTATTTATATTTTTAATTCAGTTTTGATTTTTTATTTATAAAAAAATTTAAAATTTGTGATTTGAGAACAAAAAAAGTTTTTTTTCGCAAAAATAGCGGGGGAAGGCACCTTAGGATGCATAGATCTTGAAAAGTTACCCAAAAAAAAAAATGGGTTGAACGTTTGTACATACATTAAGTATGCAACTTGTAACCTAGTGACTAGGTTGAACAGGTCAACAATTTACCAAGTCAATGACTAAGGGTGGGTTTTAATAGAACTAAATCTGGAACCAAGGTTGAGGGACGATTCGAGCAGTTCAACTGGTCTTGTTAATGGCAGGTTGAAAACATTGGTATCGGTTTGGGCTGATTTTCAATTTGGTTGGTTGGTTCAAAAGATTTAAACTTAAAAAAATTTAAATTACATTTTAAAAATGCAATGATATTATTAAAAGGATAAATTTAAAAATTAAGTTTATAAACCAAGAAATATAAGATTTTTACTACTTCTTGTATTAAAAAATTATATTTAAAATATAAAATATTAATCTATATTTATAATTGGGTTGGATAACAAATGGCCAAACCGAAACTAACTTGACGTGGTCGGGTTAGGAAATTCCTGAATCGAAGCCGACCAGAAATGGGTCGAGTTGGGTTAGCTTGGTTAGTTTCATTAGTTTGATGAACATCCCTAAATGAAATTAATTATTGTTACTTTTGTATTGTAAAAAATATTAATAATATTATATAAAATATAAATAATTATTAGAGAAGATTTCTTAAATTACCCCTAAGGTTTAGGAAGTTGACTAACTCTACCCCTACTATTTCAGTATTGTCTTAAAGTACCCATATTATTTTTGACAATTATCTAAAACCTCCCCTACCATTAACTTTTCTTCACACTCGATCACATATGACATCATATGACCAATATTTTTCAAAAATTCAAAAAATACCCTTTGAAATCTTTCTCACACTCTCTTTCCTCACCTTCATACATGGTGGACTGTCACCAACTCGAGTAAGTTGAATTAGTTTGATCAGTTTCATTAATTTAATAAATATCCTTAAATGAAATTAATTATTATTATTGTTGTATTAAAAAGTTATTAAAACTAATATATAAAATATAAATAATTATTAACTATAAAATAATTATTATTTCTATTATTTAAATTTCGTTTAACAAAATCCGCACAGGCCCTCGCTAGTTTTATTCTATATCGGTTGAGGATCGCATGCTATGCCGACAGGGACATTGAAATAGATATTCGCTTCATAGTAGCATAGATAGCGGTTGTTAATGAATGGAGTAGGCTTGCTTCCGTCCCATGAGTTGACAAATCCCGCAAGACAGCGGAAGTGGGCCCACACCAACTGAATCTCATTGTCCTGAATAACTTCAACGAATAACGTCATCAACCGGAGCAAGTGCGATTCACGTGGATCAAAATCGATGTAGTAGCCGCAGCGCCGGACGAGAGAACAGAGAGAGTTGGATAAGACTCGTAGTCGTAGAGACTAGAGAGAGGGCAGTACTTAGTCCTGACAGTCTGTCTCTACACCCACATGCGCATGTTAGCAGTATTCTTTTGCCTCGTTTTCTGTTATTTTTATTTTATTTAACTAATAAAAAGTTAAAAGGAAAAAAAAAAAGAGATTCTTGGAGGTGAACCCACCAGGCACCAACATTCCAGGAGTGAAGTTGAAAGTTGAAACTTGAAAAACTCTACTCCCTTACTTTCCGGTTTCGTGGTAGGGGACCATCTGAACAAAAATACTTAATTACTCCTAGAAGCGATCTTGGCCGTTCATCAATTGGATCGTGGTTGTATAGTTTCTCGTACGTAACGTAAGCTACTCCCAACGGTATGGATGTAGTAAGATTTAAATCAAATAGTTCAAATTGGGGTGGGTGTCAATACTCTTATCTGGTGAACCAACACCAACAGGGACAAAAAGGTAAATTAGGGACAATGAAACTGTTCTTATTTTGTTTATTTGATATTTTTTTAGTGGAAGCTGAGAAGCTGCGATACATGGGCTGACCGGATCGTCATAAACCAGAAATCGAAAGTGAAAAGCAAACACAGAAAGGAGGAGAGAGAGAGAAGGGGGCGACAGATATATTTATTTGCACACAGCGAGAGAGAGATAGAGAGAGAGAGGGGCGGTTCAAGTATTAATTAACTTTTAGAACAATTTCTTTAATGCCAGAAAGAGAGAGAGAGTGGCTTGATGCGGTAATCCCCAGTTTGCGTACAGTAGTAAACTCATAGGGACGGAACGGAAGGGAATTATCCATCTTCTCTCTCTCTCTGAATTAGAAAAAGAGTTTCCAGTTCCGCTGTCCCCAGCGATCAGATTCCCCTTCCTTTTCCCTTCTTTAAGTTTCCCTTTTTGTTTTCTCTTTCTCTCTCTCTCAAGCCCTAGAGGTTTGAGACTTCTTTGCTTGATCAAGTGGGGGGTCGGGGTCGGAGTTTCGAGAATGAGATCTTCGTTGACGCCTGCAACTCCCCCAATTCTCCTACACAGCTTTATTTCGTGAGCTGGTCATTTAATTTGTTTTCTTTGAGAATGAGAAGTGGCTGGGATTGGGATTTGCAAGTTGTACGTGGACACCAAGCTTACATAATCTTCGGGACAAATCTCAGATTTTTTTCTTCAGTGGATGACGGCTCTTTCCGTGTCTTCATTGATTCCATGTACCATTCCCTTCTCATTTTCTCTTTGGAATTTATTTATTTCTTTCTTCTTGATATATAGTCTTCCTCTTCTGTGTTTTTTTTTTTAATCTAAGCAAGTTCGTTTAAAACAGGAACATGATAGGGCTCGATCAATTTCTGTTACCGATAAAAAATCGTTTTTCCCCCTATCTTCAAAAGTTAAGGAAAGAATTTCTACCAGAAAATCTTGTGGATCCATATTTTCAATTTTTTTCCTATTTGCATATAATTTTTCTTCTGGTGGATTTGCAATTGGGTACAAATTGAAAACACATTTTATATACAAGTTTTTTTGTCAACTATTACTCCATTTTCCGGGGGGGGGCAGTTAAACGGATTATACAAATAAGCCACATGTGAATAGGAGAGTTCAATGAATTACTTCTCATCTATCCTATGCGCACAAGAGGAACGATAGAGTCTACTGTTTAAGTTCAGTTTGATATCAGTTGGAATGAACCTGCTCATATTGTTTCGCATCTGCTTTTAAATCCAATTTATGTGTCAAGAGCAGATAAGAATTGTTCAGATTGACTATTCATTCATAGGAGAATGTACTATTCGTTTGGGATTCCTCCTGTATCCCGTTTGTCTTTGAACCAACCACACAACACTCAGATTAAATACTAGGAATAAGAAATTGAAAGAAAAAGCAACAAAATTGTATGCAAGACACTGTGACGAGAACATTGATTATTAGCATTTGCAAAACTTTTCTCTTAAACGTTTGATGTCATGTTCGTTAAACTTCCGGGATACCTAAACCGATGCAATTCGTTTGGTTGGAGGTGGCACCATTTATCTGATTTCAAGTGGTTTGCCTTTTCTCATCAATCTTATATTGACAAGATCTTATTAGAACAGGATCCTTTATTCTAGCATGTTGATTTTTATGTTTTTATCTTTTAATTCTTTTTTTAAACACATGCAGGAATGGGGCTTGAAGTACTGTTGGAAAGATCCTGGCAAAACACGGTTATATTAAACAATGCAAGGTCTGATATAAGAGTTGGCACTCTGTTTGATTTTCATGAGAACGGAATGTTGACAGGAGGTGATTTTAATCTTAATTCCACCCAAAAATATTCGGATTCTCTCAAGGAATTTCTAAAGCAGACAATGCTCCACCATGAGGCAATATTTAAGAACCAGGTAGAAGGACCATTTCTGATTCTCTATGCAGAATTGAAGTACCCCTACTGGAGGGCCTGCTCAGATTCAGAAAAAAATTATTTCATTTACTTTTAAGTTTCCGGAGGTGTTGATGGGTCTGTTTTTTCAGGTCCACGAACTCCATCGTCTATACAGGATTCAGAAAACCTTGATGAAGGATATTAGCTGGAGGGACCTTGATGGATATAATTCATGGACAGCAAACACACAACCAGTCCAGTTACCATTTCAAGATTTACCAGCACAAAGACCATTGGTAGAAGAGAGAACCTTTTCTGCACCTCCCATGGTAAATAACTTTAGCCTACAAAATGATACATTTTATTGGCAATACACAAAGCAAGGCAGGTGATGGTAAAAAACAGTGCTTGCATAATTTGATATGCCTGTGGCACGCATGAACTGCCTTTTAACCCTCATCTAGCAGTTCAGCAACGAGACGCCTTGACCAAAATGGTGGGTCCATCAGATGGTGGATCTTGGTTGACCTGCATGATTCCTTTGACCAAAATGAATTCTTTCAGATGAAAGTATATAATATCATTTAGGTCTTTTCAGGATTCCAATCATGATATGTAGACATGTTAGGTCCATCAGATGGTGGGTCCTGGTTGACCTGCATTGGTGCCATGCTTCATTTCGGATGCATGGATATGTTTCCTGTCCTCTTTCTGTCCTGCCTAACTTAACCATTCTTTTCAATTTTGAAAATTTTTATTGAATATTTTCAGGTGAGCCCTAAACTGATTGCAAACCAGGATATGTTGGAGCAGCAAAGCACCTACACTAAACTTCAGCACGGACCTGTTGACCTTCAACTCCCAGCCGACGAATACATTAGTCATGTAGGCAACGGACTTCCTAGGAAAATGAATTTATGGCCATCCCTTGGAGAATCCACTGAAGCAATGGATTTTTTTCATAGTAGTTATTCTTCTGATCCAGAGGTGGTAAAGCTTTCCCTGAATGGTGGAGAGGGCCAAAGTAAGGAGATTTCCAATAGAAAAATGTCCAACAAAAAGACTTCTTTTTCTACCCAAGTTGTCATTGATTTGGAAGAATCAACTGAAATGTTATCAGACAAGGAGCTAAAACCATTACGTTTCCTTGTATCTGAAGCTCCAAATTCCGTAGATAAGCATGAGGCCCAAGTTTCTGTTCTAGCTGAGCCAAGCTTTTCACTTAGAACAAAGAAAGATGTAGGTCATGGGCTTTCCGTAAATTGCTCTGTTGCAAATTGCACTGAGGATAGTGAAGAGCAGAAATCCTTGTTCATGGATACTGGTGAGTTTTTTCATGGCAAACATGTTACAGGCACGGATGTTCATTTTTCACATGGCACTTCCTGTTATCTTGCATAATGTATTTGTTTCCCTCAAACAACACTGTGTACTAGAGTTGTTACATGCTTTGTCAAGACAATTTTTTCTGACTCTGGATCCATTTGCAGGATTGAATGGAAGTCATTCCAGTAGTCCATTTACCAGGCTGTTCGCCAACAAGCAACAATCATCTTCAGACAGCACTGCACATTTGGATCTTAATGCAGTTCAGCTTGATGAGTCTTCTTGTTTGTCAAATGATCCTGCAGTATCTGTTCCTTCTCTTACAGCAAGACCACAAGATGTTTTCCAGGGATGCAGTGATGCATCCTACAAAGGAACTCAGCCTATCACTTGTTGGAAACTTCAGAACTATCACACAAGTGGAACTTCTTATGTGTTTGAGAAAGAGAATTCTACTTATTCAGGTTTGATAGATTCTAAGGGAAAAGATTGTAGCAATCAAGCTTGTGATGAAAATGACAAGCTCAAGTCAAGCTGTGGAATTAAGAGAGTTGCTATTGATCTAGAGTCTCTGCCTGAGGATGCTTTAGATGCATGTGAAAACTTGAGCAACAACACTGGTAAGTCCTCCAGAGAAAATGTGGACTTGTTGCTGGGACTGCCTAATGGTTTTCAATATGATAATCAAACGGGTTCTTCAACCACTCCTTTCTCTAAGCTAGTAGAAAATCATCCCTATGTATCAAGTAATTTGGGTTTACCCCTAGCAGCAGGAGAAGTAAGAGTTGGCCCAGTAAACTTTGACAAGAGTGAGGAAGATACAGTATCTTCAAGTCCTTGTAAAAGTCAGGTCGTGATTCAAGATGGACATTTTGGAGCATCTAATGCTGCAGGCAAGTCCAATTATGAGACTGACAACAACTCTAGCAGTGTAAAGGACTTGCAATCTGGAACAGAGGATAAACACCAGTTAGAGGTTTCAAATCTTTCTGCCTTTGAGGAGTCTGGAACTACTCAACTAGGATCTCAAATTGCAGAGGCTCTCTCTTGCGAGCAGGAACTGAATGTGGAAACTGGTATTTATGCTTGCATGCAGGGTAAATGTTGTGATGGCACTGAACCAGAATATCAATATGGTAGTGAGCAGGAAAAGGACAGAGAAATGGATACTTTGGTCCAAATAGCTGCAGAGTCCCTTATCCAGTTTTCTATGGAAAATTCACTATGTTCTCAAGATGGGTTTGCAAAGGCAGCAGAATCAGATGAATTGTTAAACGAGGAGAAAGCGGAACAGCCAGAGTATTCTTCTGATTCCTTTGAATCAATCACATTGAGATTAACAGAAAGCAGTATAGATGATTACTCAGTGTCATCAGCGCCGGTAGAGGTAAATGAAATAGGAAATAAGCCATGTGGGTGGAACTTGAAGAGGGGGAGGAGAATGAAAGATTTCCAGAGAGAGATACTGCCTGGTCTTGCATCTCTTTCCAGACATGAAATCTGGGAAGATATAAATATTATAGGAGCGGTTATCAAGTCAAAGGAATATAAGAACAGATCCAGGAAAGTGGTGGTCGGGGATAACTGGTGTGCCCCTGTAAGAAGCAGAAGGTCGAAACTAAATTATGTTGGCCGAAGGAATTATTCATGAAAGTTTACTTTAAGCTGGCAAAGGCATATATATACACAAGGAAAATTGATGGTTCTATGAATTAAATTAATAATGTACTCTTCCACAGATAATTTACTATGGGTATACTGACGTGTAAATCTTAGTTTTTCCAATTTCTGAGAGTTTACTCAGTGTTTGTCTTCCAACCCTTGTCAGATGGAAAAGGCTGCAAGAGGATGGGCCGTATATTGGACTAACCAAATTCATGCCTGTAAAAGCAGGAGCGTTGGGGACTCTGCTGAAACGATATTTGAAGACTTTTTAATGGTGTTCCTTCCTTATTCCTTGTTGTTACCTAATGATAATGACAAATACAAGGAATGATAAGATATTTTTGTGCAGGCTCGCCCCATACCTTGCATTGCATAGACTCACAATTCCGTTCCTAATAGTATCACTTTTTCACTATTAGTGAGCTGCATGTGCACAGTCGTTGGCTTCTTCTTGTTTTGGTAGAAGAGGACGAATCACCAACGGAGGAGCCGGACGGGGGCGGGACCAGGGCCTAGGCCTGTGAAAGCTCTGGCTACGTTAGCCTGTCTTTTATACTTTCTGGGTCCTGCCGTGTCCGTAGCATTATAATAATAATATTTATTATTGCCCTTCCCTTGCAGCTAAGGGTGTCAATGGACCGGTTTTGGATTGGACCCCGTCCGGTCCAAAATCAATTTGGATAGATTGGATGGATCAATAAGACATTAGATTGGATCAATCCGGTTCAAAATATTTATTAGATTGGATTGAACCTGGTCTGTCCATAATAAATTTATATTGGATTGGGTTGGATTAAGTCAATATCTGGTCCATTGATATAAGATAAGAATATAAGTGTCAATGGACCAAGTTTGGGTTGAAACTAATCTAAATCAAAACTAATTTGAACAGATTTGATGGTCCAGACATTGAAGTGGATCAATTCAAAATGGTCCAGAATATTCATTGGACTGGACTGGACCTGGTCCATTTATAATAGACTCACATTGGATTGGACCAAATCCAGTCCAATTGACACCCCTACTTGCAGCACACTTGCTTCCAAGCATTGCCCCGGATGTGAATTATTTGATCTATTCACTTTATGCGTGTTATAGTTGTTCACTACCATCCCTCTGTTGTCTTGGTTCTTTTCTTTTTCATTCTCCTCTCTTTTGACCAGAAGCAATTGGGGTTGCAAACTGTTTCTGATTGTCCAAATTTGATTTCGAGTCTGATCCCATTTAGTTCCATCCATTTGTAATTTGATCAATATGAATCCTCCCTTATCCAATATGATATAAATCCAATTCGATTCGACTTAACTATATAATTATAAACAACTTTAAAATGTATACTGTATTTATTAGTAAAATTTGTTTGAATGTTGTATGCTTTACCAAATTGTCATAGGTCCAACTTCCATGCAAGTAATTTTCAATTCATTTTGTTTATGATAACAATATTAAACCCATTTTACTTCAACAAATATTTTGATACTTTTTTTTTAGTTTAATTTATGTGCACTATTCAATGTCCTATTCTATTCCAAATTCCATTTGAATCCCATATGAATCTGATGGATAAGATTTGAGTTGAATTCAAATATAGCTCAAACTAAATAATAGTTGTAATTTAATAAATTAATGTTAATTCAATAATAACTTAATAAATTAATAAATATTTTATATTTTTATTGTATGCAATATTATCAGGCTCAAGCTCAGGCGGACTTATTTAGAAAAGCTTAAGCCCGGCCCAAAAAGTCATTGGGCCTGGTGCTAGAGTGCGAACCCAACCCATGGGTCTAAAATTTTGTCCCAACCTGATCAAGAATGGATCGGGCCGGACAATCCGTTGACAAGCTTATTGATCATTAAGGAGGTGGGCCATATTTTTCTTGGTATCGGATATGGACTATGGAGCCCAAGACTTTACCAAAAAAATTACCAACTCGTGTTAGGAACTTCTTTTTATTTTTTATTTTTATTTTTTGGTAAAACTTCTTCTTTTTATGATGACAAGATCTTTAGCCTTTTTTTTTATATATATAACAAGACTAGTGGAATGGCCCGTGCGATGCACGGGGTATTTGATATTGATGGTGATATTTGACTATGCTTTTATATAGGGTATAGATTTGTAATTTATGTTATTTTCTTCAATTTTTTATGATTTCTACTTTTTATAAATTTTCTATGTATTTTTTTTGTTTTTTATAATTTATATTATTTTTTTCATTTTATGTGTTTTTTCATAATTATTTTGCAATAACATATATATAATGGGAAAAATAGAAAGTTGAGGGTAAAATTGGAAAGTAAAATTAGAGTGTTTTGACCAAACCAATTGCACCATTCTCATTTTTCAGTATGATATATAAGTTTCTATGATTTTCTACATTTTTTGTAAATTTTCAATGCATTTTTTTGTTTTTGTAATTTATATTGTTTTCTTCATTTTATGTTTTTCATAATTATTTTGTAGTGCCAGTATATATAATGGAAAAAATAGAAAGTTGAGGGTAAAGTTGGAAAGTAAAATCAGGGTGTTTTGACCAAACCAATTGCAACATTCTCATTATTTAGTAAATAAGATATACATGGTATAGAAATTTTTATGATTTTCTATATTTGTTTTGTAAATTTTTTGTGTATTTCACATTCTCATTTTTTTAGCATGGTATAGAGATTTTTATGATTTTCTATTTTTTTTTTTGTAAATGCTTTTGTGTATTTCTTGTTTTTTTTTTTGTAATTTATATTGTTTTCTTTATTTTGAGGAGAAAGGTGCATAGGATAAAGAAACACCATTTCTATTTCCTCCTTCCTATTGTGAAGTAGGGGGAATGGATAAGATATACACTATACAGAGAGGGGTTTAAAGGAGAGAACTTGGGTTTTAGAATTTATTTCTTCATTTCATGTGTGAATAATAATATTTAGTCTTTTGCCTCATGTCGTTCTACTCGTCAATGGTGGGGATGTTATTTGCATATCTAACGGCTAGCGTTTGGATATAGGTTGATCTTGATTTGTTTATATTCGAATTTGAATTGAACATCCATCCGATTTTTATAGAAGAGTCTGGATCTCCTACCAATAAAACACATTCCAAACCCCTACGACCCTACCAAGTACAAAACTCCTACGGTATTACATTGGTAGGGTGTTAGATTATTGGATTGGCATGATGATCGTCGAGAAAAAAAACACCCTAAAACAAATCAATATAATGAACCTGAAAGCATTTCCCAATCCAATACAACTTATTATATTAACGGAGACAATCGAAATAGAGGGGAAATGGGAAAAAATACCTGAAAAAATAGGGAGAAAACCAAAAAAGGCTTCATTTAACCATCTAATTGATTGTTCGATGATGAAAATAGAGAGGTCAAAAAAATCCATTCCTCCAATTTGAATTCGTGGGTTTTGGGCAAACCATCCAATACTTGACACATGTTGGCTTTAATCAATGAAGAGGTTCGTCAGGTAGGCCTGACGGGAGTAGGCCTGTCAATGATACCCGAAAATCCGAGGCCCAATTCGACATCCAATCTGATTATCTTGGATTCAGATTATGTATTTATGTAATCATATCAAATTTGGATGTTACAATCTACATCCAATTAATAATCAAATCGGGTTTGGATTTGACCCAATATGATTTGATTAAAATTCGAATATGATTATATTATAATATTTATTAACTTTAATATATAAATTCTATATAATTAAATTAAAATTTATAAAAATATATTTTAAATATTATATTATATATTAATTTATATATAATAAATTTAGTATGTTATATTTATATTAATTTATTATATATAAAAGTTGAAAAATAAATAATTTTTAATTTTACTGGTATTTTAGAGAATTTAAAGTGGAGTCGGATTAGATCCGAATCCGATATGAGTTTGTTATGATTCAAATTCGAATCCGAGTCTCTAAATCCAATTGAATTTTGGAAATTTGAATGTAGTTTCTTAATATTCGGATCGGATGCGGATTTTGCTACATCCAATCAGAATCCGATCCGATTAAAGCCCTATTGCGGAGAAGATCAAATAAGGCCTAAGGGGAGAGAGAGGAGAAGGTTCCATAGTGATTTTATTATTATTTTATTTGTTAAAAACATGAACTGTTAACTAAATAAAATTGGAAATATAAAAAAACTATTATTATTTTATTTATTTTATCCAATTACAAGTGTTAACCGTTAATTAAATAAAATTAGAAAACTAAAAAGGGTAAAAATGGAAAGTGAAAATCAGGTTTTTTCATGAAACATTGTCACCATCCTCATTTTTATAAATGGTGCAAACAATATTCTCATTTTTTAGTATGGTATAGAAATTTTTATGATTTTCTATATTTTTGTAATTTTTTTTGCATATTTCTTTGTTTTTTTTTTGTAACTTATATTGTTTTCTTCATTTTGAGGAAAAAGGTGCATAGGATAAGAGAGATGCCATTTATGCTTCCTCCTTCCTACTGTAAAGTAGGGGGAGTGGATAAGATATACACTATGCAGAGAAGGGTTTAAAGGAGAGAATTGGGGTTTTAGGATTTATGTCTTCACTTCATGTGTGAATGATGACATTTGGCCTTTCGCCTTCTGCCATTCTGCTCATCAATGGTGGGGCCGTTATTTGCATATCTAATGCTTAGCATTTGGATATAGGTTAATCTTGATTCATTTATATTTAGATTCGAATCAAGCATCCATTCGATTTATATAGAAGAATTTGAATCTCCTGCCAACAAAATGCATTCCAAACTCCTATGGCCCTACCAAGTACAATCTTTACGATATTACGTTGGTAGGGTGTCAGATTACCGGATTGGTTTGATGATCATCGAGAAAAAAAACCTAAAATGAATCAATATAGTAAATGTTTGGCATCGATGCTACAGTTGCAGCACTGATGTGTGGCTTGGAGCACTATTTTCTCAGAAAATAGTGCCATTTTTTCTTTTTGGAATCATTGCTACTAGGTAGGGCGTTTCCTGGAATAACAACAACTTTTTCTATTTGGTACCAATGCTTCAGGAAACGTTTTTTGCACTTCTACCCATTATCCACTGTCACATCACTATCTTGTTGGTAGCAACAAGCTGCARCTCCAAGACACACAAAATTTGGCATTGCTCCAAGGCATGCCTTCCCGATTTCCAATACCATTATCCACTGTCACATCACTATCTTGTTGGTAGCAACAAGCTGCAGCTCCAAGACACACAAAATTTGGCATTGCTCCAAGGCATGCCTTCCCGATTTCCAAGGCGTGGCTTGGAGC